ATTAGGAAACATAGGATAGACTAGGAATTATTCTATCTCATCTTGTACTCCAAGTTGATCATGTACTCCTATATATATGCACGAGGCTCAAGCAATACAACAATGCATTACACCAATCCCTCTCTATTCCTTCTAATATACTAATCCAAATTGCCTCAAACCTACAACGAGCTCTGAAGTGTGAAATCACGGGCTACGTAACGTCAAGTCATTGTTCAATTGAATCCGAAGAAACATCGTTCCAATAATACATCACTTATGGAGTACTCCCACTCACATGGTCCTCCTACAACTAAAGCCTCTACCCTACTAAGAGGATGAAACACAACTCCATGTAGAGAATCAATCTAGTATCCACAAACAAACGCCTCACATCTACACCAGCAATGATTAAGAAAAAGAAACAAGAAATCGTTCAGCAACCTCACCATCTTGAGCAGGAGGCGGCGCTTCTCAATCTTCTGATATCCAGAGAGCTTCTGCGCCACGGAGTCGCTGACGCCTGCGAGGCACCCCGCAGTGACCATCTGCACTAGCCAACTTAACCCAGGCTTAGAAAATTCCCCAAACCAATCAATCAGATCCAGTGAAAACTGCAACAAAAGGCCAAGACCTTGGTGCGGAGTGGGTGGCGCTGCAGCTGGAGCAGGTACTGCCTCCAGGCCCTGCGAGCCAACGAGTCCCCTCCCCCTGTTCCTCCCCCAGCTCCTCCACTTCCTCCTGCCATGGCAGCTGGTGTCGGGCTCTGGGCCGCTTAGATCTATCTACCTAGAACCTATTCCTCGAGGGCACACTTTGTATGCTCGCGCCGAGATGCGATTTTTTTTTTTTTTGAGAAGAAGATGCAAATTCATTTAGTCCTCTTTGGTTCATCCTCGAATATAATGTTGCTGGATTTTCTTGTTTTCTTTTACTCCCTGTGTTTCAAATAGGGATATAAACCGGGTCCTGCTTAATCCCGTTTAAGTCCATTTATAGTCTACAATTCAATAAAGTTTCCCCTCAAAAAAATTCAATAAAGTTTACTTTTTGAGAAAACAAACTATCGAGCGAGCTAAACTAACTAAACAGGACTTGCGGGCACGGTTTAGTGTATTAGTTTAAAAAAAACCAACCCTCTTTAAATTTGATCAAGTTTGTGGATAAATATATCAATATCTATAATATCAAATCGGTATAATTAGATTCATCATGAAGTGAATTTCATATTTTATTTATTTACTATTGTGGACATTGATATTTTCCGTTAACTTGGTCAAATTAAAAAAATTGACTTTTAGGAAACTGATACACCTTGTATTCTAAAACTGATGGAGTATTTGGTTTCCGATTAGGGATATGATGGAGTGCGTTTTTTTATTTATAATGTGGTATTTTGGTGCACATTTTACGATGTGATTCTGTGTTATCTGTTAATCAATCCATACTTAAGCGGAGACATTTTCTATGTTGGTGGCTACATTACTATATTGGTGCTACAGTGTCACATCTGGTGCTTCATTTTTTCTAGTTGGCGAAAGGGTGCGCTGATTAATGTACTTTTAGAGGTCAGTTGTTACTGATTGGTTTGAAAAAGCATTGATCTGATCAAAATCTTGAACCAGATCCAAAGTTAAATACCTCAATCGAATGGAAAACCTTCAAAATTAGGGAGCATAATGAATTAAAAAAATTGAATGCGAGAGCTCCTTCAGAAATTATTGACGCGTCAAAATCGCGTGAGCCAATTCCATATTTAAGACCTCAATTGAATATAAGACCTCTAAAATTAGGAAGCATAGTGTATAGTTAATTAGAAGTATTGAATGAGAGAGCAGAAATTATTGACCCGGTCAAAATCGGATGAGCCAATTCCAAATTGAAGACCTCAATTGAATATGAGACCACTAAAATTAAGGAGCATAGTGTATTTATTAGAAGGATTAGGCACGCTTTGCTGCGTCATTGGTATTATTGGGTTTTAGAAAAAAAACTACTCGCTCTGTTTCAAAATATAAGTTGTATTACATTTTTTTTAAAAGTCAAACCTTTTAAGTTTGATCAATTTTGTAGAGAAATATATGAAGATCCATAATATCAAATCGGTATGATTAGATCCATCATGCATTGAATTTCCACACTTTTTCTAATATTGTGGATGTTGATACTTTTTTTTAGTCTGAACTTGTGCAAAGTTATAGAAATTTGACTTTTCAAAAAACTAATACTCCTTATATTTTGGGATTGGTGTAGTATTTAGTTTGCCAGGTGGGGGAGATGATGGAATTTGTCTATTTTTCTTTATAATATGATGATTTGGTGGGCCTTTCCTGGTGTGGTTCTATGTCACCAGCTAACCAACCTATATTTACGTGGGGAAATTTCTACTTCGCTAGCTACATGTACTATATTAGTGTTGTAGTATCACATGGTGGCACTTCTTCTTTTTTCTAGGTGATGGAAGGGTGCACGAGATTTATATATTTATAGGACGATTGCTGCTGATTGATTTAGAAAATTGTTGACCTAATCAAAATCATGAACTGACACATCTCCATCGTATCTACTTTCTCAAACACTTTTGCTTTTGTTTTGTATTCTAATCTGCATGACTTGAATGAAACTAACCCGTACTGGCATTGTTTTCAGTAGAACTACTATGATGTTGTTTTTTGTGTAGAAATAAAAGTTCTCAAAATTGGACGAAACTTTTTGAAGATTTTTTATGGAATATATGAAAAATACTGGAACAAAGATCCACCGGAGGGGGGCCACATGTTGCTCACAAGGCAACAGGGTATGCCCACCCCCAGGGCGCGCCATGTTACGTTGTGGGGCCCACAGGCAGCCATCTGACCTAATCTCTACTCTATAAATTCCGTTTTGTCGAGAGAAAAATAAGAGAAGAAGTTTTATCGCGTTTTACGATAAGGAGCCACCGCCGCCACCTCATGTCCTTCATCGGGAGGGCTGATCTGGAGTCCGTTCGGGGCTCCAGAGAGAGGGATTCTCGCCATCATCATCACTAACCCTTCTTCATCTACAGCTTCATGATGCTCACCACCGAGAGTGAGTAATTCCTTCATAGGCCTACTGGACGGCGATGGAGTTGGATGATATTTGTCTTGTAGTGAAGTCAATTTGTCAAGGCTTGTTCCCTAGTATCCACTATGTTCTGAGATTGATGTTGCTAAGATTTTTCTATGCTTAATGCTTGTCACTAGGGCCCGAGTGCCATGATTTCAGATCTGAACCTATTGTGTTTTCATGAATATAAGTGTGTTTTGGATCCTATCGTGCAAGTTGTATGCACCTATTACATGTTATGATCTGTAGACTCCAAAGTGACAATAATTGGGATTTATTCTGGTGATGACCGAAGTATGAGGAGTTCATGTATCACTAAGTGCTAATGTTTTATTCATGTTCTCTATTAAAAGGAGGCCTTAATATGTAATGCTCCGGATGTAACTTGCCATATTTGTACTCCAACTCTTGCCATTTTCGGCTTTAAGTTATGAGATTCCCTTCGTGGTTGGGTTTTGTCTTTGTTTTGCATTTTGTTCACGTCATGCATTTCATATCATGTCATCATGTGCATCGCATTTGCATACGTGTTCGTCTCATGCATTCGATCATTTTCCCCGTTGTCCGTTTTGCAATCCGACACTCCTATGTCCTCCGGCGCCCCTTTTGACTCTTTTCGTCAGCGGGTGTTAAACGTTCTCGGAATGGACCGAGATTTGCCAAGCGGCCTTGGTACACAACCGGTAGATCGTCTGTCAAGTTTCATGCCATTTGGAGTCCGTTTGATGCTCCAACGGTTAACCGGGGAACCGTAAAGGCCTCATGTGTCTTGCAGCCCAACACTCCTCCAAAGCGGCACAATAACCCATCCAAACCTATTCCATGTCCTCCGCCGTCGGATCACGACCGCGTGGTCGAAAACTGCACCTCATTTGGACACTCCTACCTCCTTCTAGCTATAAATATGTGCCCCTCCCGGATTTTTCGCGCAGTCTAACCCTAGCCCCGCCTCCCTCGTGCCGCCAGACAAAATTCCCGCCACCGGACATGTCCGCGCCGCCGCCTCCAGCCAAGCGGAGCTCGCCACGTCACCCTGCCGCCGACTCCACCGCGCGCCCCGGGGAAGCCCATCACGGGCCCGCCCGGGCCCGGATCTGAGCCCCGCCCGCGGGAGCCCGCGCCTCGCGCCCGTCGCTCAGCCCCGCCGCCGTCGTGCCGGACCTCCATCGCCGGCGCCGCGCCACCCGTCACTGCCCCTCGCCGGCGAGTCGTCAAAGGACGTCGCCGCCCCGCGCCGCCTCGCCCACCAACCGCGCCATGCCGGCGCCTCCACCTCGCCGCCCTTGTGGTCCGTGCCGTCCCGGCCGGAACCGCCGCCCCTGACCTTCTCCGGTGCCGCCCCGCGGCCATGTTCGCCGGAGCCGAGCTCCCAATCGCCGCCATCACCGGATCCAGTCCGGGTGGATGAGATCCACCAGGACGCGAACCATACGCCGTCCCGCGACCCGGATCCCTCCGTCCCGCTCCATCTCATCCCGCGTTGACTTTTCATGAGGTCATATTCCACTAAGTCCTTTTCCCCTAACATTTTGAGGCCATGTTCATCGCATCATAACTTCATGACCGTTGATCCATTTTGTGCGCATGATATATCAAAATGTTAATTGGGAGATGCTCTTAATTTCATTCCATTGTGACATGCTTGTTTGAGTCCATATTGATGCCTGAATCACTGATGCAAGAGTGCTATAAAATGTTTGCTCCTGTTACTTGTCAGTTTAAGGTGATTTTTCATTTTTGCCACAATTATTGTGTGCTGCATATGGGCATGAGCTCTACATGTATTTCGGTCTATGCCATTCCATCTTTACAGGGGTGTATGCCATGTTTTTTGTGATCTTTGTGGTGACTAGCACAAGCATGCATAATAGCCTTTGTGTTATTGCTGATTTCAGGATCTCAGGATTTTGGCCAAGTCTTTTGTCTGCTGTTATTTTGATGCCATGTAACCATGTTGCTATAGTGAGATACATGCTTTATTTGAGTTGCTTCAGTAAGGATAATTTGGACATATGGTTATGCTCTATCCATCCATGCCCCTGTTTGTAATTATGGAGTGCCCTAGCATGTCTTAATCTTGCTCTATTTTTTCTATAAAATGTTCCTGACAGATTGTTTACATGTTAATCAATTTTGCCATGGTTGTTGTAGTTGATCCAAGCATGCTATAAACTTATTCTTGCCTTGGATTGCCTTATGAACATGTCTTATTACTATTAGTATGTTTAGTTTGTCATGCAATGCTTTGTGATGAGTGATTTGAGATCGCAAAGATGCCTTCATAATTTTGTTTATGCCATGCTCAGTTTTCTGCTAAGTCTGAATCTGTTAACGAAACTTGCTATGTTTACATGGGTGCCATCATATTTTATGTGCCTTTTTGGCTTATGGTCAGTAAGGGACTTTTGTTCTATGCTTTGAGTAGATTCGTACCATGCCTTGTTTTGCTATGATCTGTTCCTGTAGAATGTTGTTTGCTTTCTCTAAACATTGCTTCCTGATGTTAATTCCTGACATGTTAGTATTTTCATTAAGTCTGTGAAGCTGATATCTTTTGCACTTTTGCCATGCTTGTTTGAACCTGCTCTTGTGTGATTTAGCCGTAGCTCAGTGTTCATATTTTGTCAAGCATCTTGAGTAGATCACTACCATGTGCTTTGT